GTCAAAAAAAAAAGGATATAGAATGCACTAGCTTACCGCCAGCGGCTTCGCCCGCGTGGCCTTGTATTATACCTAGGGCTGCCACCTTTTTTCCAATTAAAGTACATTAGTTATTATAGGTACAGAAAAAAAAGTATGTTTATTTTTCTTTATATAGAATCAAAATAAAGTATTATTAATTTTTCTTTATTATTAAACTTAAAAATATATTTTTTTATTTGTCGATTGAGCATGAATCGATAAATTTTGTTTAACGAAAAAATACTTACGACTAAGCTTCAAAATCATAAACAAATCAAATCATGCGAAATAAATTATTTTCGTGTAATTTATTGTTCTCATATTGACTAAGTTATTTCAGACATGTGGCTTTTATAGCTTTTGAGTACAATTGTCTGAAATGACAATTACTTATGTAGGTATGTGATAACAATCCAAGTTTCTATTTGAGATAATAAGATGTTCAACTTTTTATGGAAAAAAAACTGTAATATCCTCTATCCCTGTAAATAATTAGAAATAATATAAAAGTTGATTTAAATCTTTAAGCCAACAGGGTAGTTAAAAACATTGAATTTCTGACGCCAATAAGTAAGTAGGCACTATTATCCACTTATATTATCTTTACACTTTTGTTTTGTTTAGATTTAAATAATACTTTACATCATATCAATATGTCTACTACATCGCCAATTCTTTTGAAATTTAAGCTTTTTTCCCAAAATTAAGGCGTGTATATAATGATTTAAAAAACTTTTAGTTTTTCATATAGTACCTAATATTTATTAGATACTCATATTCTTATAATACATACGTCTTAATGTTCCTGGCTTTTAGAGCTTTTGTATCACCTGATTTGAATCGATTATGTGTATCCCTGGAGTATGCTTTATTTGTGGATCAGTATGCCGCGTTCACACAATATGTTCTGGTGTCTCACTTCATAATCCTGATTACAATATATATGAATATCAGAGTCAACTTATTTCATGAGAAATGTGTGTCTGTTCAATAAGGAGGGACAAGTCCTCAGAAAGCCAAAATGCGAGGCCCGGGTGGCACTCTCTACACGAAGACATCCAGCCCTCTGCGGTCCGGCGGACCGTGGGATTAGCCTGCTAGGACAATCCACCGTTTCGGAAAAGGCTGTTATTCACCCAAGTCTTTTCCTTCCTGCAGTAGGCGACTCTTCATCACCCTCCGCTAGAGGAGTCCCAGCGCGGCGAAAGAAACCGGGCCCTCCGCGTGAGGTGAACCGCAGCGGGTTTTTCTAAATAGGGTCTGGTAAATATTATCTGTGATAGTGCTAATGCTTCTAGTGGATTTATAGTATACCGGTATAATAATATAATTTTGCGTCAATAGGGTTTTAGACTATGGTAATAATTGTAGCAGCTGTCGGCAAAAAAATCATGTCGACTGTAATGCCAATGCAAATTCGAGCAATGTCAGGATCTGCCACATTTACAAAAATATTAAATTTTTATTTAGCCAAAAGATGGCCAGGCCGCCTTGGTCAATTTTTACGTACCAAGGTGGTTTAGTTTTCGATGGGCGGCTAGCCTATACAGCATTATATCCAATGAGGAAATATTAAAAAAAAAGAAAGCACTAAAAAAGCACCTCCACTAGATGGCGACTCTAGCAAAAGTTGATTTTTGCAGGAAACGAATGGACCAAAGACAGTTATTTCCGTTCCTTTTAATTAACATATTAAAAAACTGAAATTTGAAAAGTTCAAAATTTAGATATATTGATATCAACAAATACGAAAAAGTACAAATAGAATATGAGTTGTTCATTGAGTTTTGTAATCTAATTTAAGAACATCAAGAACATACCGTAGCGAGATCTAGTTTGATTTCGGAAACTAATGTTCTTTTTTTAATATTTCCTCATTACAACAACTGCATTTATATCCGTCGGTCCAAATCCGACAGAAAATCCATCGCGAATTATTATATTTTACAGCTAAAGTAACAAAAAATGGTGTGACTGATATACGATCAGTTGCACAAATGTCCATTAAGGTTTAATGACGCCTTTAAACACTAATGAATGACAAATTTGTATGGGTATGGTCGTTTTATTAAATTTTTAATGGACGTTTGTGCAACTGGCCGATAGTAGACTAAACAAAGTATAGTTACCTACAATTAATTTACGACTACAACTACAACCTATTAAGCTTGCTTAGACAGTAACATACAATTTTATAATCTGAACTCTATGTAGTTTTCCCCTGTGTTTAATTACCTATTTATTACTTTCGCCAATCGCAAGTGACTATTGTGAATAATCTCTAGATAAATTGTTTGACTGGAATATATATATTAAATGCCTTAGTTTATTGAACATACTAATTGTTTAATACAATAGTTGTCGGTATCCGCAGGTGGACACTTTAGAAGAAGCAATAAGCAAAACTTATGATGCTTTAAAATTATGTGTGTTTCACAACGGACACTCTTATCAATAAAGTCCGAAGTACATAATTATTTTTATGATTTTTATAGCAAATAAATTAATGTAGTTTGTTTTATCTTGACTATATGATAAAAGTTCAATCACATTTATATTATTTTTATTTGAATCTAAACTGAAGTAGGTATATGTATATTATTGGTGACTCAAGGTAGTTTTTATTACACGACCGCCCAAAAAAAGAAGTATATTGTGTTTAGGGTTAATGTGTGTGTAAGTTTCTTTATTATACTATGACTTTTGAAAGACTTCACGGATATAAATTTATATGGTATCATTAGATATCCTACATCATATATTATTTTTAAATATTCAATATAGCGGACGTCATAAAAAATAAAATTACAATACGGTTCTATTATAAGGTCTTGATGAGTACATTACAAAAATATATATATAATTAGTGGTGACTAAAAGGAATAAAATAAAAGTAACAAAAAACATGACTGCCAAAATCGAACTAAAAATAAAAGGAACACGTTGCATTATTTATTTATTTATTTATTTTATTTAAAACTTTATTGCACGTACAGCAAAAGGCGAACTTAATGCCAAGGGCATTATCTACCAGACTACCAGACAGAACGTAACAGTAACTTTTGATTTGTCCATCCCTTCAAGTATATCTTCCAATACATTAAGACTTGGCTAAATAAATTTCTCATTGCAGTTGGGGACCGTGTAATTTAAGAGTTCCCCAACTGTACTGTGAATTTTGTTTAGCCAAGCCATAATAACTACTTGTTACTTTTATTTTTAGTTTGATTGTGGTAGTCGTGTTTTTTTTAATTTTAGACTATTACCTAGCTCTGCGCAAGCTGCTTCGCACGCGTTATTCACACAATGACTTGACAGTACATTTATCCCTAGGAACTAATTCGTTGAATAAAAAGCATTAATTCTAGCTTCGAATTGTTCATATACCAAATTTCATCAAAATCCGTTCAGTACTATTCGTGTGAAAGAGTAACAAAGATATACCTGATACACCCTCATAAAGTTTCACATAGTTTCATTTCTGTTTTCAATCTTTAATCTCTGTTACAATATAGTTCATAAAGATTAATTATCGAAAAAAAACAAGACAATAAATAAATAAGGAAAAGAAATAAATTAATTAGGATTTCTTTTAATCGAGAAAAGTGTATTTAGACATTCACGTTTTGGACCAATTACTTAGAAATTAGATCTGGTTTTCTCGTTCTTTAATGATAGTTAATTTGGACTACATTTCTTTTGTTCTTTATTAATTAGTGGTTTGGATAATGTTGCTATTAGAGATTACTTGTTTATTATTTCCATTATGACGAAATAGTTTCTTTTTGATATTTTCTTCATGCTTTATAATTATAAATTACCTGCTTCGATCTTAATATCGAATATTTCACGTTAAAATTAGAAACTTACTGTACTATTTATACTAGATACTTATTTTTTTTTCCTAGTGGTAATGTCAAGGTAACCTTTATGAAGGCAGATAACTCCTTATTGCTTATACACACAAAAAAAAAAAAAATTACATTTATTAACTCTAGGATAGGCAAAAGTGGTTTTAAAAGTAGTAAGTTAGTCGTAATTAGGATAAATAAATAATAAAATAATATTTTGTACAAAATATTCACCTTATAGGAAATTAAGAAGATCTCATGCAATCCAAAGCAATACTATGAATTCTAATAAGTTTCATAACTTCGATGAATTAATATTATTCTTGCTTACCTGCAAATGCATTTTACAATACAAATTTTTGTCGAAATATGGCAAATATTTTTAAAATTGCCAATAAACCGTACTTGCGTTTATAAGCTGTTATTAAAATCATGGTTTATACGTAGGAGTAGCTCGGTGGCGTAGTGGATAAGCGCCGCGGCCCGCGATCGTTGTCGTTAAGCAACTTTCACAAGGGTCAGTCACGGGATGGGTGACCAAAAAATTATTATCTCGAGCTACTCCGTGCTTCGAAAGGCACGTTAAAACGTTGGTCCCGGCTGCGTTTGCAGTCGTTAATATCTTCCAATCCGCATTGGGTCAGCGTGGAGGGTCATGGCCCATCCTCCTTAACCATCCCCTGCCCCAGCAGTGGGGACGTAAAAGGGCTGATGATGATGATACGTAGGTGCCATTACAATCCTCAAGTAAAAATTCTCTTGATAACAAAATAACAAAAAGTATCGAAATTAATTCCAATATGTGTAGGTATTTCAATATGCGCTCCGTTCCTATGCAATAAAGTCTATAATTAACATAAAGATGCAATCTGAATATGTATCATTGCCTAGACTAGAACGATTATCTAATTATGCTTTTTTTACAACAATTATTTTTAAAGAAACCGAGACTATACGGCTTCGGACTTCTGATGTTCTGCCAACAAGATTTATATTCATGGAGAATAATTTGTAAAACAATCTTAACTGCTTGTAATACAGTTTATATTCGAATAGAACCTTTTTTTTAGTGATAATACAGTGAACGATATATCGACATCGCCATGCCTTTAGTTGGCCTCATGATAGCGTCGCCGTCGCGTGTATATGACTATTAAAAATATTTTATTTGTTTGTAAACATTATTAATTGGTTATATTGAATAATGAATGTGATTTCACTTACTGTATGGACTTTAGAACATAACTGTTATATAGTTTACACGGCGCTCATATTTGGTTTCACTATTTTCACTATTTTTCATAGAAGGAATTTGGAAGAACGTTATTATAATCGTTGTACAGATAAAAAAGAAAAATTGCCGCGAAACGGGAACGGCGGGAAAGGTAACAAAACTTTTTTTTTTCTTTAAACATTAAATATTTACAACCAAGGAGTTTATAGCACGGATACCAATTGCTAATGTCACCTCTTTATTCATGTTTTGATATTTTTATTAATTAAAATCGTTAAGCTGCTATTATAGTATTTAATGCTTAAATACTTGAAGACGTTTATTATTTTTTACTTATGTTATGAACATTGTTTAAAGCGTTTGGTAGTGAAAGACCTTGAATGATTTCTTGTGAACACTTTTTTTATTCTAAAAAAGTTCCTCACTACTCTCTGCGTAAGTTGAATGTCAAAAGCGTTAGGTTAATTAGATTTTTCGTACCAACATTATGTTAGTGAGATTCTTTTTAGATTTTGAATTTTCGCGTCAATGATGTGAACATTATTTTTGTAAAAATAAGAAAAATAAAGCTTCTATAAAATTATATTATTTTTTTACTAGTTCATATTAGTCTATGATTAAAGATTTTTGAGATTATGATTTAAGCGTTCCCTACCTAAAGGGTAAAACAAGAACCCTATTATTAAGACCACTGTTTGTCTGTCTGTCTATCACCAGGCTGTAATTCGTGAACTTTCGCAGATGCTTTATTTCTGTTGCCTTTTCAACAACAAATAAGTGATTTTTAATATCGCTCAGATTAACAACTCAGTAAGTTACTTAGAAAAAAAAGTTCGAGCTAACGGAGTTGTTTCTATGGCTTATTTTTTTTAGCATTTGAATATGAATATTTGCATATATGATTTTATAACTACGTATTTGTTATCATCTGTATGTCTATATAATTTCTCATGTAATTTTATTTATTCTCTTTTATTATAAATTTCTATGGAAAAAAAAGTGACAGTTGTTATTATAAAATTTGTAAGAGCAATTTCATTACCAGCTTCCACATGGATGGAAAATATTTTTAACTTCAACAAGCTTTAAACTACGTCATCAAGCTTTAAAAGGCAGTTTGCTAATTATAAGTATAAAGTAGGTATATATTACTGACACCCATATTTTTATACTTAAATAACACTTAAAGGTATTTAAGAAAATACCATTAAGTGATTTTAATTCCAAAGTTATTTTAGTTTCAATCAATAATGGTAAATAATACTTTATCTTTTACTATCATAGGTACACGTAGACTCGAGTTATGCACTAACCTTGAATGTGCAAAATCAAAAGCAGGAAATGGCGGCAGAGAATTAATGAGTAACATTTAAATAAATATAGATTGTCAAAATATATACTAGTTGTCGCGCAATAATCGAAATTTTACCAAAATATTAATAAAAGATTTACTAACGAAGACAGATATGGTGCACAGTATTGACCTACGAAACATTTTGCGATTTTTTTTAAATACATATACAAAGTTAAACGCAAGATGAAACGTCGCCAATGAACTTGTTTGTTGTCTTATATACTAAACTAGCAAGTTTTCGACTGGTTCCAGTACATACATATACCTACAACCAAAGATTGATAAACATGTCGATCTTTCGTTAAAGTTACTATGAACATGTTATATACATATTGTAGATATATTAAGATAGAAATTATAGAAAATAAATTTGTATTTTAATAACTTATTTTATAGAAATATCTATATTATACTGCTGCTGTGCCATGCTTTGACTTCACCCACATAATCTATAGCCTAGAAAGATTTATTAAAATTAGTCCAATAGTTTAGGAATATATTTAATGCAAACAGCCAATCGAATCTTATTTATTTTGACACTTTATTGCACAAACAAAGTAAATATAAATACATAGTAATGTACAAAAAGTAAAATAAACTATAGTTGTGCAATAGGCAGCCTTATCGCAGAAACAGCGATTTCTTCCAGGCAATCTGTTGATTGATACAAGTAGCAGGTGATTGTGAGTAGTACACAAAGTTTTTATTGTAGATTTAAATGAGTTGAGCAACTGTGAGCGTCTGATATCTTCAGGCAAGGAATTCCACAATCGAGTCGTGTGTAACGTGAACGGATTGTCTGTAAAATTTTGACGAACTTAGAGACGAAGACTGTCTGATGAACGAAGAGGTATCTTGCCTCTTTATAAAATTATTACGGACTGCAAGTTAAAGGAAGAAAATATTTACGAGTCTGTTTATTTATTTGAACGGGTTTTTACTCGAAAGCTACGTAATTTATTGTGTTGATTTATCGTTGAAAGCTTTGAATATTATTTAGGGGTATTCTTCTTGCATCCGTTCGAAACTAGTTGAATTTTTTTTAGCATAATATTCTTTGATTTTAGTATGCACATCGCTTGAAAAGGGTTTAATCTTATACTGCATTCAATTAGCATATTATGAGCTGAAGTGATTACAGTTATTTTTTGTATAAATATGTAAGACTCGCGGGATGTACTTATGTTTATTTTATTTCTTTCCTATTGTCGATAATAATTTTTATGAGGTTAAATATCATGAAGTGAATAATTTATATTATTCAATAAAATATTAATATACGTTTGTTGTAAACAGGAAAAGTGTTTCCTAAATTCGGTGCAGAAACGCGAAAACATTACCTCTTTCCTGCAGATTTCTCTGTCTTCTTGAATAATTCGATTGAATTCAACAATTCCTATCGTATAGGCTGAACCGAAAATTTGCTTCACTGGATTTTATTCATATAAGCATAAGAATAACAACGAGCGGTGTATGTTGCCAGTGAGCAATGGAAAAGGAAATGTATGGTTTCACTGCGGAATAGAATTATATAGGGGAACCAATGTTATTGACATTGCACGAAAGATTGCTCAGTTGGTGTGGTAGTGGGCGGGTCGCATATTTAGAAGAACCGAAGGCCGACGGGACAGAAAGGTTCTTGGGTAGCTATCACGTATCGGACGACGACGGGTAGGCTCCCCAACATGTGGATCAACGATCTCATTAGGGTTGCAGAAATCCTCTACGTGTGTGGGCACCACAGGACCGAGCGTCATAGAGATCTAAGGTTGAGACCTATGCTCAGCATTCAAATTAATTCATTGGCGTCAGTAACGAACGACAGCAGGCTTTGTTAACTTTACGGGAATAAGTATCAACGAAGCATCTGTCCGACGGCCTCCGTTGGCCTGATGTTCCAATTTGTCTGCTCTATATTACTTTACCATATTACATCTTTGTTTGGAGAAAATTTGTTACATCGTCATATCTATCGATTAAATTGGAAATGAATTACAATCGCACATTTTATTTTGTTTATATTAAAATACTAGCACAGCTATCTAATCACAGTCAATCGGTTCGTATGTACTCACCTATCATGATAAAAGATTGTCAAAGACTCGTAAAAAATAATATGTGACGTTTCATTTATATCTTGATTTTGATAAGTCCCTTTCGTAGTCGCGAAATCCAATCATAAAGTCTCAATATCGATCCTTACATACATCTTCCTTCTCCTTCAATTTAATTACTGTTTTCAAACATGCTCATTCATGCACAGGCCATTTTGTAATGGATTCTGACATTGGCTTCAGATAGCACGTGATCAATTTAATGTGATAGGTGTATCTTGAACTTGAAACATGAAATCTTATCAGTGAAATAAATAAAAAAAAAAATATAACAATAAGAATTGTTTTTACTAAAGTTTGAATGTCAGTGTTGTTTTCAATATAATAAACTGTTTTGACATTATACATATTAAAGGATTTTTTCCATTACCTTGCCGTACCATGACCATGCTATGAACATATCAGGCACGGAATCAAACGATCTACTCTACCTACTGGAATGGATGGACCGCTTGATACATCTGTTTGTGGGGCCGCATAATACTTGTTTGTGAAGTATAGAACGTGTCAGAAAAAAACATACTCTTTATATTGAAGAATAGTACGAGATAAAACCCGAGTCCGCCAGCCGACAAGCAGGCTTAAGATGCTTAGACCATTCATTCGAACGTTAGGCGCGTAAACCGTTTCGTCGGGCATCAGAGCGCTTAGTGTAAGTTTTTTTGACGTTTACGTTCACTGTCGATAGTGAGCGCGTTAAGATTTAACTATGGAATCTGGTACAGCGCCCCTAGCGGTAACTACCAAGAACTACAAATCTCCATACAAATTCTTAACGCGCTCACTAGTGAATGCGTTAGCGTAAAACTTACACTTGCCACTCAGGGCGCGTAAATCGTTCGGTTAGCCACTAAGCGCGTAGACCGGTCTATAGGGCATCAGGCGTGTAGATAGTTCTATAAGGCATCAGGTGCGCAACCGTTAAGCTCGTAGACCATTCCATCAGGCGCACGGATGCCGGATGGGGCGCTACTTGATTAATACGTGATTGATATTCTTCAATAATCTACGCAAATATTAGATAAATAAATAAATATTAAACAACATCACATACATTGCTCAGATTCCAAGATGAGTAGCTAAAGCCCCCGTATTATGGAGTATCTGAGACAACGAAGATCACACAACACCCAGGCCCGAGACAATATAGAAAAGTTCATTTTCTACATTAACCCGACCGGGAATCGAACCCGGGACCTCAGAGATGGCGACACCTTGAAACCGGCGTGCGAACCACTCGGCTACGGAGGTCGATATTTTGGCAGAGTTTGAGCCTTGCGCGTTGTACATTTGTGTAATAGTAGATGTGATTACTGTACAAATGTATTTCAAAACTCATTCGGTCCAGAAGTTTCGGGTATAGGAACCATTACAGGAATAATGGTTGCCTTTTTCAATCTAAATTCTATGAACCAGCATATATAAAAATATATATACTAAGTACGAGTACACAGTTATACGCCCACCCACGATTCTTCCGCATCGCCAAGAGTCACTCACTCGTCATAATCAATACAATGTCATGAATTATGCAATGAATAGAAAATACGGTCGATATTCTGTATTCACTCAATATCAATCTTGTCGCTAGGTAAATATAAAACAATATTGATATAATGATACATTATTTTATTTATATTATTAACTTGCTATCTCGTTTTCACTTTACTTGCGTATATTATA